TAGAGTATTTGGAAGTCCCTGTGAGTAATATGGGAGAAGGTGCGTCGGATCATCCGTAAAATGGCAAATGCCTTTTGGGCCGATTTCTCATGGTGCAGTGAGAAGGACAAGTTTGAGGTGACCCAGATGCCCAAATCCTTTTTGGCATCTATCCTTATGATGTCTTCTGGTCCCTTTTCACCATGCATTACAAATGAATACGCTGGGACTCCTCCAAACGACATATGGACGCACTCTTCGTCATTCAGAGGAAGACACGAGTCCAACGACCAACGCTTTGCAGCGTTTACATCCATTTGGGAGGCAATGGCATTAGAACTCCAGGATTTCAAGTTGTCCACAAAAAGTAAACATGAACTTGGAAGAATATCCGGGAGGTCGCTGACGTAGGTCAGAAGCAGCACTGGTCCCAGAAAGGAGCCTTGAGGAGCTCCAATGGAGACCGGCGCTTGAAAAGAGTAGGTCGAGCTTATTCTCACTCGGAATTATCTGTCTGATAGGAACGCTTTGATCCATCGTAGGGTTTTCGCTTGAATCCCGTAAGACTGGAGTTTATAATGCAGCGGGACGTGTGAGACCCTATCAAATGCTTTTGAAAAGTCGAACCATATGGCGTCCGATATAAGTTCCTCATCCTTGGCTTGAGTTAAGCTGTCCATAAACACGAGCATGTTTGTCCCACAAGAACGCTTTCGAAAAAATCCGTGTTGAGCTAGAGATATCAAGTTGTGGGGAGTGAGGTGATCTAAAATAGCTCGCTTCAGAATGCGTTCTATCACCTTGCACGGCACGCTAGTGAGGCTTAGAGGCCCATAGCTGCTTCCTTCCAAGCAGAGGGGAGGCGGCCTTCGTCAATCGACTGATGAAACACCAGGTGTAGATCATTTGCCAGTGCGGAGGACGTTTCCTTCAGGATCCTTGGATGGACCTCGTCGGGCCCCAACGCGCAGAATGGGTTGATCCGGTGCAAGAGTTGACGAATGTCCTCCACCGTGAAGACCAAGTCGGTTAGGGGCTGTTCGTAGTTCCGCCTTGACAAGAGTGGATGTGACGAAGACGCCGGGGCTGACTACAAACACGCATAGTGTTCCCTGTAAACCTCAGATACCACTGTTGAGTCATTCGTCGGTTCTCCGTTTCTGTCCCTCAAGGAGAACGCGGATGGCTTGTGTTCTGCGGCGATGTTTCATGTATTCTTGTTTCTCCGGGCGAGGTAATCATCATCGACAAGATGACATCAGTGTTCAACACCGGTGTTTCGCTGTCGTACTTTTTTGTACAAGGGCTGGGATACTGCCAGGGTGCCCACACCTGAACAGGAGGGCGATTGTTGTCCTAAACCAAAGCCTTTGGCTCAGAATCCTAACCACAATGCAGCGGTGTATGGTGGGAAACGCAAATGCATTACCATTTCTGCGGAACAAGTAGCCACATGTTCCAAACCCCAACCTAGAGGACCAGGAGACTGTGTTCGTCAGACCTCTAATCATTGACCAACCTGGTATGAGAGACTCTAAGAGTATCACAGGGATACTCCCAAGTGTAACTCAATGGATCCCTGAGGCGCGCATTTCACGAAATGCCACCTCATCTTCTGTTACCTGCAGTTAAATTTTTGGAAAACGTGGGACCCATATTCTAGACGTCGCCGAATACTTTTAGGCAGCCTGTGACTCATCCAACTGTGTGCTGCCTTTTGGGAA